CGGGTGCAGGTCGGAGGGAAGGAGGACCTTTGGTGGGTCGCTGAGGAGCCCCTGGGGGGTTGGAGGTGCGAGACCTCCCGCCCCCGCCCCCAGAGCTGCAGCCGCTGCGCATGGCCTTCGCGGTGATCGGGAAGGGCTCCTTGGCCGCCTCCTTCAACTGTGCCTACATCTTCTCCGGAGAGCTCTTCCCCACCGTCATCAGGTGGGTGGTTGTCACCCGCGGGGGCTGCTGGCACCACAGCCTGCCCTCCGTCTGTCCGTCCATCCACTCGTCCATCTGCCAACCCACCTACCGAGTCATCCTCCACCCATCAACCCACCCATTGGCCAGCCCATCTGCCCACCCAACCGCTCATCCGTCCACGCAAACACCATTCCATGCACCAACCAACCAACCGTCACCCCCTCCAGGCACCCAACCACCTCTCCAGCCATCCGTCAACCCCTCCATCCACCCACTTCTCCAGCCATCCACCCACCTCTCCATCCGTCCATCATCAACCCCTCCAGGCACCCAACCACCTCTCCAGCCATCCAACCACCTCTCCACCCATCCATCAACCCCTCCAGCCATCCATCCACCTCTCTGTCCACCCAACCACCTCTCCGTCCACCCAACCACCTCTCCGTCCATCCCTCAATGCCTCCATCCATCCAGCTACCATCAACCTCTCCATCCTTCAACCCCTCCAGCCATCCAACCACCTTTCCGTCCACCCATCCATCCATCAACCCCTCCATCTCTCAAGCCCTCCATCCATCAACCCCTCCATCCATCCATCCACCTCTCCATCCACCCAACCACCTCTTCGTCCATCCATCTGTCCATCCATCCATCCATCCGTCCGTCTGTCCACCCACCCACTCGCTCTCCCCGGCACAGGCAGACGGGGATGGGCCTGGGGGGCACCATGGCCCGCGTGGGGGGCATGGTAGCCCCGCTGGTGCGCATGGCAGCTGACGTCACCCCGGTGCTGCCCCTCGTCATCTACGGGGCCGCCCCCATCATCTCGGCCATCGCCACCTGCTTCCTGCCCGAGACCCGCAACGCGCCCCTGCCCGAGACCGTCAGGGACGTCGAGAGACGGTGAGGGGCCACCCCGGAGGTGGCCTTGGCCACCCCGAGGGACCTCGGCCCCACCAGATCCCCTTTTCCTCCCCGATCCTTTCGTGGGGGGGACGGGCGGGGGGAATCCCCGTATCAGGGCACGATTCCTTTCTGGGAGGAACCCCGAAGGTGTTGGGGTGGGGGGGACCAAGGGGCTTGGGGAGGGAAGGGTGACGGGTTTGGGGCGAGAAGGGACAAAGGGTTTGGGGTGAGAAGGGACGAAGGTTTTGGGGTGAGGACAAAGCTTTTGGGGCAAGAAGAGCCAAAGGTCTTGGGGTGAGAAGGGACAAAGGTTTTGGGGTGACAAGAGCCAAAGACTTTGGGGTGAGAAGAGCCAAACGTTTTGGAGAGAGAAGAGACGGAGGTTTTGGGGTGAGAACCAAAGGTTTTGGGGTGAGAAGGGCTGAAGGTTTTGGTGTGTGAAGGGACAAAGCTTTTGGGGCGAGGACAAAGCTTTTGGGGCAAGAAGAGCCAAAGGTCTTGGGGTGAGAAGGGACGAAGGTTTTGGGGTGAGGACAAAGGTTTTGGGTTTCAGAAGGGCTGAAGGGTTTGGGGTGACGAGAGCCAAAGACTTTGGGGTGAGAAGAGCCAAAGATTTTGGGGTGAAAACCAAAGGTTTTGGGGTGTGAAGGGACAAAGCTTTTGGGGTGAGAAGGGTTGAAGGTTTTGGGCTGAGAACAAGAAGTTTTGGGGGGTGAAGGGATGAAGGTTTTGGGGTGAGGACGAAGGCTTTGGGGGGAGAAGGACGAAGGCTTTGGAGGGAGAAGGGATGAAGGTTTTGGGGTAAGAACTAAAAGTTTTGGGGTGAGAAGAACAAAGGTTTTGGGGTGGGAAGAACCAAAGATCTTGGGGGGAGAAGAGTCGAAGGTTTTGGGGTGAAAACCAAAGGTTTTGGGGTGTGAAGGGACAAAGCTTTTGGGGTGAGAAGGGTTGAAGGTTTTGGGCTGAGAACAAGAAGTTTTGGGGTGTGAAAGGATGAAGGTTTTGGGGTGAGAAGGACGAAGGCTTTGGGGGGAGAAGGGATGAAGGTTTTGGGGGGAGAAGGACGAAGGCTTTGGGGGGAGAAGGACGAAGGCTTTGGGGGGAGAAGGACGAAGGCTTTGGGGGGAGAAGGACGAAGGCC